CCTGGTCCTGCGGAATGGCTGGGCCTCCCCCTGCTCCTCTCAACATCTGCTGCAATTTCCCTGCACCCTCCTGGGAAGCGCCGCTCTTGGCTCCGTGGCCCAAACAGGGCCTTGGCCAAGAGCTGCTGCTGAGGAAGGACAAGGGAGGCCGGGGGCCAGGGCTTGTCCTTGAATGACTTGGTCTCCTGGTGCAAGCGAAGCGCCTCAGGACGCGGAGCCCAGGGTAGCTCCTGCTGGCCAGCGTCTGCAAGCAGCCAGCTTGACGACTTGCACTGCTCTGAAAGCAGGTGCTCTAAGTATGTTTGCCAGGATATATTTTCTAATTTACTGCTGTCCACGCTGACAGGACAGCGTGGCCTGCCAGCAGCACTGCTGCTCCCACCGTCGCGTCCCTGCGTGCGTGGCCGGCGGGTGATGGCAGTGCAAGGGCCAGGGGCAGAGCAGGCTGCCCGCGGTGCAGCTCGGCCGGTCCGCGCCGAGCCCACGGGCCCTGTGTGGCTCCCTCAGGCCTGTGGCTCCAACAGGTCCCCGTGTGGAGGGTCACGTGCAGAAGGGCCAGCCAGGACCTGATGCAGCCCCTTGCCCAGATAAGACATTAGCATTGGTCCTGTTCCCCACATGTTGCAGCAAGCTGAGGCAGCAGCCCCGAATGGGATCTTGGTATCTCGCACGAGTGATCAGCATCATGTTAAACATTTCTTTGGCCTTGCTCATCTGGGCAGCAGCTTCCAGTGGCCTTCCTGTGGCCAGTGCTCCCTGTTCGGGGCTCCCTAGCACGTGCTGCCTGCAGGGCTCAGGCCCAGGGATGGACGTTGCTCAGGATGGGCAGTGTGTGCTGCTGGCAGTGCCCTCCATGCCCTGGCAGTGCTGCTGCCCTCCACATCCCTCTGCATCCCATGCGTGGGTGCAGGAGCTGCGGCCCTGCAGGCTGCTCTGCTGGCACGTGGCGTCTCCTCTGGCAGAACCCTCTGCACATGCTGTCCCTCTGCTCTGCACGTGCTGTCCCGCTGCCCCTGCCTAAGGTCGCTGCCGTGAGCAGAGGTGGGTGACGTGCCTGGAGAATCCCCTTTGCGGAGGAAGGACGCTGCGCGCCGGGAGCGGGTCTGGTGCCCTGTGCACGGTACTGTGCACTGAGCGTGTCCTGGCGCGGGGTGGGTCCATCCTTCTTGCTGTCCCCGAGTGACCTCACGGTGCTTTGCTTGCTCCTTGCAGACAACACGGCCGCGGTGCACACGCAGAGGGTGGGCTTCAACCGCCAGGAGCAGGACGTGTACTTGCTGCCCATCCTCGTGGTGGACAGCGGCCCCCCGGCCCTCAGCAGCACGGGGACACTGACCATCCGCGTGTGCGGCTGCGACAGCAGCGGGGCCATCCAGTCCTGCAACAGCACGGCCTACGTCATGTCTGCCACGCTGAGCCCTGGCGCGCTCATTGCTCTGCTGGTCTGCATCCTCATCCTCATCGGTGAGTGACCTGCACCCTCTTCTTGTCCTTTTCCCAGTCATGTGTGCATGTGGAGTTGGTTGTGTTGGGGTCGGTAGAGGCCCCTGTCTCTCCACAGAGCAGGGCAGCGCCTGGTCCTGCCACAGGGCGCGGGGGGGACCTGCTGCTGGGACACAGCCATGGTTGTCCCCAGCTGAGACCCTGGGCCAGGTTCAGGGACGCAGCTGGAGCAGGAGGCCCTGCAGCGTTGGGTGGGCTTCACTCCCAGGAGTCAGGGGCCGCCAGTGGCTTCTGGATGGCTCCAGGCAGGAGACCAAGAGCTGCTTGTGCCAGAGTGATGGCGTTTGTGGTACTGTCCCTCCCTGCAGTGAGGGGCGCGTGTCCAGGGCAAGGACGTGGTGCCAAAGGTAGTAGCAGTGGGATATGGGCGTCCCTAATGCAAGGATGTGGTGCTAAGGGTGGCAGCAGTGGGACACGTTTGTCTCCAGGATAGGGACACCGTCCCAAGGGTGGCGGTGCTCTTGTCTCAGAAGCCTGCGAGGGCCATCGTCATGGTGCGTGCAGATGAGGAGCAGGGGATGTCTTAGTGCCTGCCGCGTTGTGCAAACGTGCAGGTCTGCACGGAGCCGCAACCAGCTGCTCTGTACGGGCCGTCCCCATGCGGGGAGCTCTCCGTGCCCGGGGGAAGCTGCCGGTGACAGGTCTGCGCCCGCGCGCCGGGGAGGCAGGGCCGGGAGGAGGCCGCCGTGCCGTGGTTCCGCACGGGCGCTGAGGCTGCTGAGCGCCCGCTGGCCTTGGCACGGGCTGCGGCCGCCTCCGGGCAGCCCTGGGACATCTGGGGAAGCCGCCACGGTGTCTGCTGGATCTCGCTGCTCCTTGGCACGTCTCCGCGCCCCGGCTCCTGCTGCTGTCTCTGTTCAGAAAACCCTTTCCCACAGGGTGCACTTTACACCGGTTTCATTTTCCAACGCAGTGCAAACAAATTTCTGCCTAATTGCCCAGACGAATAAAGTGCACCTCGGTGCTCTGGAGGTGATGGGATGAATGGATGATGATCCAGGACACATCTGCGGCTCGTGGCTCAGGCTGTGCCATCTGCTTCACCATCATGTTCCCGACACCCGCCTGCCGCCGCGATTCATGCACCCCCTTTCCTACTCATCCTCCGCAGAGTCCAGCCGTTTGTCTCTCCTACTGTGCGTCCACCCATCCGCCCCTCCTGTCTGCTCATGCTGCATGGAAAGGAGCTCGTGCTCTGCTAGGAGCCGGGGCCACCCAGCGACGCCGCTGCTCCGCGGGCCTGGCCGACACGACGCCGGTGCCGGGCCGCGCGCCCCTCGCCCGCGCTGACTGTCTCTTCCCTCCCCAGTGCTGGTCCTGCTCATCCTCACGCTGAAGCGGCACCACAAAAGCCACCTGGCGTCCGAGGACGACGAGGACATGAGGGACAACGTCATCAAGTACAACGACGAGGGGGGCGGCGAGCAGGACACGGAGGCCTACGACATGTCGGCGCTGCGCAGCCTCAGGGCCCGGAGCTGGACTTTGCCCTCTTCAGGGACTACATCTGCCGGAAGGTGGAGCAGGCGGACGGCGACGCCTCGGTGCCGCCCTACGACTCCTTCCAGACGTACGCCTTCGAGGGCTCGGGCTCGCCCGTGCCCTCGCTCAGCTCGCTCGGCACGCGCTCCAGCGGCTCCGAGCAGGACTTCTCCTACCTGGGGGCCTGGGGGCCGCGCTTCCGCCAGCTGGCCGCGCTCTACGCCGGCCGCAGGGCCGACGAGGAGCCCGAGGACTCCTAGCTGCCGCCCGGCGCCAGAGCGAGGTGCGGGCCCGGCTCCTGCCAAGCCACCAGCACCGCCTCCAGCTCGGGATTCCCCGTCTCCCTTAAAGCACTGCACATCCATTTAAGAGAGAAAACCTAATTGAGGGAGTTGGGAGGGACCCCCTGAGGGGTCCCCCCTATACCACTCTTTTTGGGAGCCTGGCACCTTGCAGGAGCAGCAGTGCAGGAGCCCTTGGGTGGACGAGTATTTTTTGTCACGTGAGTTGGAGCATTTTGAGGGCTCTGATTTCCTTGAGAGCTTTTGGTGCAGACGGAACGACCTTCACTTCTGCTCTGCTCCCTCTTGCTCGTTCTGCACATACCCCGTCAGCCGGCGCGGGGCTGGGCAGAGTCGTTGGTGCTGGCAGCTCCAAACGGTGCCACAGAGCCAGGCTGTGCCAGCTCCGAGCGCAGGCAGGTACCGGCTCCGCGCGCGCCGGCTTCGGGGGCTGCCCGCCCCGGCTCTCGGCGATGCCCCCGATGGGAGCGGGCTCCCTCCTGCCCGCGCAGGGGCCGGCGCCATGAGCAGGAGGCAGGACGGGTAGTGCCGGCTTCAGGGCAAGGGATGTCCCGGAGCCCTGGTCCAGAGGGGCTGTTCGCTCATAGTGCAGAGAAAGGGGTGCCCGGGCTGTGCTGGGTGCCTGGAGCCCTGCTGGGCGCCCGGGGCCGGCTCTTCCCACACCGGCCTGGCCGTGGCGCCTCCCTGTGTATGTGGTGCTGGGTGGATGCGTGAGCAGGTGACAGTCACCCCGGCATCCCTATCCCGATGCCTCCCAGGCTCATCCCTGCATGTGTCCTTTCAGTTCAGCCACGGGCAAGGGTTTCTGTCCTGGGAGAGCACTCAGCTGTAAATGTCCTCACGTGTCTGGTTTGTCCCAGTCTGCCTCCCACCTGCCAGCACTGCTGTTGCGGGCTGGAGCGGAGCTGCCTGGAGGTGCAGGCCGGGCCACAGCGCCCGCCCTGTCTCATCCCTGCTGCGGCTACGTCCCCGTGCTGGCCTCTCTGGTGCAGACGATGGACTGGGAGCCACTCATTTCTCAGGATCCCTCTGGCCCCCACAATGGAGGCTGTGGGTGCCCGCATTCTCATTCTGCATCCTTGCCCCACATCCTCATCATCATGCTTTCTTGCCCTGTATTCCCTCCCATATCTTTTCTTGCATCCTCATCTTGCATCCTCTCCCTCCTCCTTCCCTGCATCCTCATTCTGCATATTCAGTGTGCAGTTGCCCCACATCTTTACTTGCATCCTAACCCATCTCCTCACCTCACATTCTGCACTCATCCTGCATCCTTGCCCTGTGCACTTGCCCTGCATCCTCACCCCATGCTCATCCTATGCTTGCCCTCCATCCTCACCCTCCATCCTCACCCGTGCGCTTGCCCCACATCCCTGCCCTGCACTCGCCACATGAGCAGTCGGTCGGTCACTGTGATTCCCCACCGGTGCCAGGACGTGTCTGGGCGCCCGTACGGTCATTCCAGCAAGGCCTCGGCCCGGGGCCCCCGGTGTGGAGAAAGCCCCCTCTTTCCTCAGGAACGTGCCCGTGTTCCCACGCTGGCCGGAGCC